TTTTTGCTCTCAGCTTCCCCATCAGCTTGCTGCGGAAACCTAAGTAAATCTCTCTATGCCTTGAAGTACCTTTCTGTGCAGAAGTTAACATGGACTACGAAAGCCTGGATGCGAGCACCACCATTCATTGACTCCTTATGTTGGCAGTCACAGCACAGAGCCCTCCTGAGGTCAGTCCATCCTGCTGGTCTATTTACATACACACATCACCAAGGCTTCAGGATCCTGGTGCTGGGTTTTCTTTTCTGCAGCAGAAAGCCAACCTGCTCTCTAAGACTTCCCCAGACCATCATGTAAGAACTTTTCAGTGCTTCTAAACACTGAAAAGGAACTGCAGGATTAGATTGCCATCTTAATACACACAGGCAAGGCTCATAAACCCAAGCAAAAGCTGAACGTGAGCCTTAACACTAGGAGGGGCCAACTCAGGCTAAGAGCAACACTTAAGTTGTGGATGTAGGTGTAGGCAGATGCAGAGTGGAGTCAGGGTAACATTTAAATAACCACTGGGTTCTACAATGGAGGCAGAACTACCCCTCTAAACAGTTACAGTGAGAACTTAGAGCTGGATAAACAAAGCTGTCCAATATTCAGAAAGCAAATTTCTAAATGTGAAGGAGGAGGTCTTCTCAAAAAAGGATGGAGCTTGAGACATAAGATAGGCTTCAATCTTAAGTCACTGAGTCTGTAATCTCTGAAAGACCAGTAAACAGTATACCATGAAATCAGGTAGGCACAAACACATTAACAGTTGTGGAAATCTTCTGTGACCACCCTCTGCTCTTCACAAAAAAAAAGAAACTTGTACAGATTTGCAAATGGCAGTGAAAATCTTTCTAGAGGCTTCTGCCCAGCACTCATATTGATATAAGATTGCCATTCTCATAGGAGTTAGAAAAGCTAATGAAATTCATGGAAATGTTTGTGAGCATATGTCATTTGACTGTATGGCAAATTACACTATTTGCATCTGTATTGGTCTACTGTGATATTTTGAACCTTCACTGTAGAGTAGTACAGCTGAGTTTGGGAGAGTGAGAGAGACTGAAACAAAATGAATTTTAAACTAGAGATACGGCTAAAGATCTTGTGGGTCAGCATAATAATGTTCTCAGGGTTGTAATTAAAGTATTCTGCATAGTTGCAGAAAGTGAAATTTAGGAACAGGCAAAGTCTGAAAGAATTTGATAGGATGCTGTACTTGGATTATGAATTGATCAAATGTTAGTGGCAGCATCAAAATGCCACCTTGCCTGATAATTTATAGATGCTTATTCAGGCGCTATGACTGAAGAGGATTTTCCTGTCCTTTCATGTGACGCTTGCCACAGAAACCCCCATGATAGCTGCTACAAATCTTTACCATGCCTTTGAGCGTTATAAAACCCAGTGATGTTCAGCTGAATTAGAAAGATAAAGATATAGAATCACAATTTAATATTGCAAAGCACTGATAAATATTCCAGTGATTAATACAATAGCGAAAAACTGCTTAAAACAAAGCCTGATAACACTGCACTGCACTTTTCCAAGAGTATCTTAAAAGCTCTGATGGACAAACTACCATGCGTTCACACAAGGCAGGAGATTACTACCCTGAGCCTCACACCTGATGTGCAACAAGCTGGGAACCCACAGCACAATTTTAGAATAATCTGGGATGGTTTCCCTAAAAATCATCTCAGGAATTGATTGCTGAACAACTGAGATGTCCATGCAGCAGACACATGGGGAGCATCTAGGGAAGGTTCAAACCTGCCTTTGCCTTACTACATGGTTCCACCCCTCAGTCAGGGCTCCAGGCCATGACACATGAGGGCTCTGCGCTCATACACATGAAAGATGATGAGCTAACTTTTTACACTGAGGTCACATTGGAAAATTGAGATCTGCAGTCAGATACAGAAAAACTTGCTGAGATTTTAGTAAGAAAACCAGGCTGATAGTGGGAAGAAGAGAAAAAAAAAAGAACTCCTGTTAATGGCAACCTTGGTTCCTTTCTACCTCAAATTTCCTACATTCACAGGCTATTTCTCAACTTTGCAGTCTCCATGATCTTGAATTGCCCTTTCACACAACTTATCTTACATGCTACTGGAAAGAAAAGCAACAAGTTTGACTTTGGGGCTCTCTTTTCCTTGTTCACTTAATGAGAATACAGGATCATCACAATATCAGATTTATATCCTGTCTTGGATTCTCAAAATGTTTGTTCTTTCTGATAAGATAAATTCCACTGCAGAGTGACTCTTTGAAGAAAATCTCCTGTCTAGCCATTTAAAAAACTTCTTATTTTTCTTTAGCCTGAGTCTAGTTTAATATTTATACTGTGTGATGAAACAGGGTATCGGCAACAGCGTATCATAACATCTGTAGCCTATTTTCCAGGAAAAACCTAATTATGTTCAGTAGCTACTTCTATTACCAAATATTAATGAATTGTTTTCATTGTTCATGATTGTCCTTCTGAAAAAGTCCACTGTCCTTTGAACCCTGGAACATTAAAGAAGCAACATTGATACTAATCAGCTGAAGATGGACCCATATCACACAGGCTCAATTTTAATAATCAGCATTATTACTATTATTAAAAAACTAGTTTTTCTTGCATAAGAAAATAAGGAGAACATGCTGTGCTTTATTACTCTCTGTGTCCAATTATTATAATGGAGCTTTTGCCACCATGAACTCCCACTTCACCAGGAAAAAGAATAAATTTTTGGAAGTCTGTATCTCAGCCTCCAGCTTGGGTAGATTCCAGGAAATTTGGAACTGATTCACAATTATAAAGATTGGCTGCTTTATGTCTTCAGTTGTTTTACATGTTTCTTCTCACCTGTGTTAGCTGAGAGAGGTAAAAAAAAAAGCTTCTCCAGGGCAGCAAGCTGGACTGAACAAAAAGCAGGCAATGCTCATGTACTGCAAGAGGCTGAAGTGCCAAAGTCAGTGGCTGTAATTGCATCATCTTGGTTTGTCAAACCACTACGGCAGGCTACTTGCCACACAGTAATTGCAGATCTCACATACATTTCTGCAAAGTTGTGCTCTTAACGTTTGGCACTTACAAAAGCACTCTGAGCATTAAAGGCTTATGTCAGTTATACAACATTGCACGCAAACAGTGTATTATTATCCCCATTTTAAGGATGAAAAATTAAAGGTTTCAGCCATGTGCATATATCAAATGGGCAGAACTGGAATTTAGATTTTCATCAAGTAGGTTCAATCCAGGACTTCAATCAAAGCTCTGTTCATGTCAGTTTAATTAGCATTGAATTTGTGTACTTTTTCCAATCTGGTAAAAAAAACCCACCAGACTTTACCCTTCCAGTCTTCAAAACAACTTTAAAAAGGGTACAGGTATCCCTGAAAAATTAACACTTTAAAACCAGATCTGAAAAAAATGCAAGGCAGTGATAGCACTCTAGCTTGTCGGTAATTATATTTTACAATTGCTTCCATTTGGCTAATAATAAAAAGCCTGCAGTGCATTAAAAAATGGAAATATCCCACTCGAACTTTCAATTAGGAAACGTGAGAAATGTCAACCCAAATCTTAGCAACATCACATGTTTCAACTTTGATTTCACTGTACTGTTACTGCCCGTTGCAGTGTTGTCTGGAAGAAACTGGGTTAGAATAGGATTGTGCATAGGTATCACATGCATAAAGGAGCAACATGTTGCTCTTTTTCCACTGTGTCTGCAACAAAGCAAGGTGAAATAATGAAGAGACAAAAATGAACAAAAACAGCAAGAAAGGGAACACTCACTAGTACTGGCCAGTGTAATACACATAGAGGGTTTCTGACTGGTTCCTTAAAATCACAATAAAAGTAAGTTGATTTAAAAAAACCCCAACTTTCTAAAAGTTTGATAAAAAACTAAGTTTAAACACTTTCCTTGAAATTATCTGCCTTCTATGAAAAATGCCAAGTTTTCTTAAAAAAGTCAAATCCAAGAACTACTTCTGAGTTCTGGTTTTGCGCTTAAAAATTTATAGACTCAGAAATTGGTTTTGCTGCCCAGTTCCTGTTGAAAAATCCCAGTTCCTGGCCTGCTCTTGCATAAACAAATAAGATAAATATCAGATGCCCTCTACCGGCCCTCTGTTTAAGTTAGAGTTTCAGAAGTTATGAATTTCCCAAATTCTTTCTAGCCCTTGCTTTTGTTACAGTAAAGTTGCAGTTTCCTGCCTCTGTCAGACAAGTCCCACCACTTCAAAGATTAAAAGTGCAGTCAGTTTGATGGTACAGCTGTCAGCACACAACCAGTGCGTGACATGGGCAGAAGGGGCCGAAAGGAAAAACTGACGGCTCCAGGAGAAAGATTTGGGTTAAGGGAGGAGAAAGGAAGGAGGAAGAACAAGGAAGAGATCATACCAGGATTGAAGCATGAAAGAAATATGGATAACAGTAAGCACAATTCAGTGTCCCAGGCATGAGGGCAAGGAGAGAACCTGGGACCCACAACTGACTACACACCCTTTTAAACCCTTTGGGTTAACAATTTTCATTGAACAAACCAACCCTTCCCCTGAAAATGCTCTTTTTACTTTCAGATTAACAACATGTATGGCAAGTAGTGCAGATACAAAAATATCACAACTCTCTCTACAGATTCCTAGCCTGACTACATGCTGTAGCAGGGTCAGATTTGTGTTACAAGTGAAGCTTCATGAACAGGCAGATTTGGGATGCAGGGAGATGAGTATGCAGTAGGAGAACGTATACTCTCTGAGCTCTTGAAGCAGCCTTCTACTGATACTAAGCTCAGTGCATAGTATCTAACACACTTAACTAACTTAGGTTTTGCAAAACTCTACTCATAAACAGACTTGTAATGCTTCTGCCTCCTCTGGAGGGTAAACACTCATGTATTCTTCTTGAGTCAAGGTCCTGTATTGCAGAGGCAACTTCACTGTCTTTGCAGCCTGCTAGGCAGCTTCAGGAAAGGGCAAAACCAAATGGAGAAGCCCTCCATCATATCTCTGTTTCTTACCTTCCCCTCAAATCTTGCAGTGGCTCCCAGCTGCACTCGGATATTGCGAGGAGGAAGAGTAAATGCTGGTGCTTCAGCAGGGACAGGGGGGCTGAGCGTCAAGGAGGTTTTGGAGACTCGAGTAGATGTCACCAGTTTCACATCCCCCATGATGTGGGCTGTAAAAGAGAAACAAGTGACAATATATAAGATATTATGATTAATTACTTACACTATAAGTAACAGCTAAGAATCATATGAGGAGCAGATGTGTTCTACATGTATGCTATATTCATATACATAACAAGAGTCTTCAGCCTACAGTGACAAGTGCTGTTCTCTGAGTGGGAAATCGAGACCCAGGAAGATTTCCTGGTGTACCTATGGTTGCAGTCAGGGTCACAGCTTTGAGCTGAACTCACTTTGAACTCTCAAGTCCCAGGCCAGAGCCTTAACCAAAAAAGTCATCCCTTACAACTGTATTAAAAGGTAATAATTTATTTCAGGAGGATATTTTCATAACGTGACTTCGATTTTCCTGGCCTGGAATACACCAAAATCAATGCCTCTAAAGTAGAGCCAGCATTAAACAAGTACTTATGAAATAAAGAGACCTCTGTTTGCACTGGATTTAAATTGCAAGAGGGAATGTGGAAAATCTGATTTTTCATACCACAATTTCAAGATCTTAAGAAATATCTGGATATCTCCCTCCAAAGTTCTGCTAGTACATAAAAAATACTTTTGCAGAAAGTCCAAGTCTCTACTTTACTGCAAATCCTTCTACAGCACACAGACTAGTAAAATAACATAGAGACCAAATTTCATAATGCTACAAAAATGGCATTTTAGAGACCTTATTACAGAGGCGATTCTTCTGTTACACATTTCATCCTTCCCAACAGAAAACAAAAAATATTGTATTTTTGCAAAGTAAAATTTCAGGTTTTCCAGGAAAAAAAAAAGCAGTAGCTGACCCTTCTACTAATTCCTTGAATCATCTATGTAAATTAGAAGCCCCACTGTAAAATGCCTATTTAATAGACAAGTTTATCAAAGAAAAACCCTGAGAAATGGCTTGACCCACTAATAGGTCATGTCGAGCCAATGAAGAACACTGGGCTGCCAGTCATAAACCTCTGCCATACACACCCACCCATGGCAGACCATATGTTTATTCATCTGAGTCTGACGAAAGTTACAACAAATAATACTTAAGTAAAAATTGAAACTTCACTTTGAACAAGAGAGAAATCAGTTAAACTAGGGCCACATTATTCCTGACTGTATGAAATACACTTTTTCTTGATCAGGCTGCAGTTATTTGAGGAGCAGGGGAACACAAAACTCATCCATTTCCAAAAAGGACTTCCACTCCAATGACACATGAGTGCATCTGAAGAGGCAGACTGAGAACACGGTTTTCCACATGGCATACCTGGAACGCTCCACAGACGTACAGAAACTCCTTCTCAACACCGAAGAAAAACAGCTTAAGAGGGCAGCTCCTCGCACGGCAGTTATCAGTCTGAAAGTCAGATGTTTAATCTGAACTAGAAGTTTTGACTCCTTCATAGTCAACAAGAGAGAAAAAGGCACCTCCAGAGGGTGCTTTGTTCTAAGGTGTGGGACTCACAGAGCTTTCTGCTTCACAGCATGCACTTGTCAGGGGCTATGGTTTGGAAGGCAAATCCTTCCAAGATACCAGTTAAATGATGTATGCACACAGAGTTTTAAAAAAATGCTTGAAAACTCCTTCCTCATTCAGAAGAATCTGGATGACGTGGACTTTGGATTTCTTCTGGCACGGTGCTCTGCTAGCATTTCTACTTATCAACATGCACAAAACCAATCCTGTAGCGTTTCTAACAACTGAATTGCTGATGCCAACACATAAATGGTAAGAAGATGATTTCCTTAACCACAAGGCAAAGCTTTCAACTGAGAAATTCTGCCTTCATTTACACAAGAGTCAGATTTGCAGTGAATCTCTGTATTGGCACCCAGTCACTTGAGAGCACAGCACAGTCTCCCTTTCCAGTATAAGCCACTCTTTAAAACACAAACAGAAAAAAACCCCAAAAGTTATCTTTGTACCTCAACTGATGAAAGAATCGTATGAAATCATAATATAATTTAAATAAGAAACTGTATTCCAGAGACATGAGATTAAATCGAAGTCTTGCTTCTTTTCTAACAAATGTACTTAGCATCTTAAAGCATGACAGCCTCTCACAGCCACAGTCACTGCAATGAACAACCATTGCCTGAGAGAGAGAATTATTCTTTCAATTAATTGTTCTTTCATTAAGAACAAGACTCCAAACTCAGTTCTCCATTCAGCTAAAACTGCAGTTTATCCCAGCAGACTTTCAATCAATTGCACGGCTGTAAACTGATGAACACTGAGTTTGTATTTGCCAGCACATTTTTTAAGTTTTTCTTTAGAGATTAAGAACAAACATTTTTCAAATTTGAAATTGCCATAAGAATCAACTGTTATTTTTTGTCACTTTTAGCATGTGACATTAATAATTTTCTATCTGCTTACCTCTTTTCTGAGTTAGCCTAAATCCAATTTCAAGGTTTATGTCTAATTTTCTTACTTTCTGTCCTTTCTCAAAGTGCTTCCTTGAGTTTCTCTTTTCCATAGATGTCCTTCAGTTTTCAACATGCTCAACTAACTACTCAACTTTCAGTTTTTCTTCCCACATATTCTTCTCCTCTGCTAAGCTTCACCATTCCAGAGCCTATAAATGCAAAAATCACAGCAATAGCTGTGAAACTCTTAACTAACAAATCAGTCTGCCAATACAAGCCTGCAATAAAATTTTCAGACCACCAGTAGAGAGAATAATGTGCCGGGTATAACACAGATGCTACGAAAATCTTCTCCAGTCTGAAGACACAGTAATGCATTTGACTGTGTAAGAAGCCAGTAACAAAGCCTATCCATACACGTACATCTGAATCAAATTTGCAGAGAGCTTGCAAAACCAAAACAACATCAAAAAAGCATATAGCCCCTAACTTGTTGTTTTAAAAATAACATTGCAAGAGTAGTAAAACTGAAAACAAAACAGACAAACAAAAAAATCAATAACAAACATCCAGAATGCAATTCAAACTTAATATGCACCCGTGCAAATGGAACTGCGTTTGAGTCAATGCCTTCGTAACGGCTGAAACAAGCAAGGGACACAACTGTGTGCACTGCAGATGCTCACAGGACTATTCCATGGGGACAAAATGCTTCAATATCTGCCCTTTGGTACTATGCACTGCTTACACAAGGCACTTGTTAGGCACGACACCTGCTCACAGACACAAACCTCCACGCTGGGTGTGCTATGAGACCAAGTTCACCAAGTATCTGAAACAGAGCCACCAGCTCATGCCTGGAAAATGCCCTGTATCCAATGTACACTCATCCTCCAGGCATCACAGGGCTCAGGTATGTCCAGACTGCATCAGACAAGAAGTCCTGTGGCTAGGAAAGATCCTCTGATGAAAAGACGGAGATAACGCCCTATACCACCTTTCCCCTGATTTCTCCAGCTATTCGATCAAGCTCTACACAAAATAAAATGAAAAAAAATTTAAAAAGGAAAGAAAAAAAGAAATAAATAGGAGGGAAGGGAAGAGAAAGGAAAAGAAAATACTGAAGTAAGCCATTCTTACTGGTCAGGTTACACTTCTATTGCAAGTTGGTAAGATGCCAAAAACCATCAACAAATGGATGCTAATATAGTGAGAGGCTAAAGCATAAAATAAAGTAATTGTCAGTCTTCTCCATAAGCACATCTTGCATGGATTAATGTTTTCCTAAATAAAGTGCCTAAACAGGATTGAATTTACAAATGAATATTATCTCAAAGCAGCACAAGCAGATTTCTAGCAACATAAGCCTCTAATCATCCACATTTAACAGTGCGACTTTAATTAGTTCTGTATGTTAAAGATATTTCTAGCAAACAATTAGGAAGTATTCTTTTCAGCTTAGAGGATGTTTAACAATTATGTTCCCAAACAAATAAATAATTCCATGTTGTGCAGTCTGGTGTTACTACAGAACTACCATGTCCAAATATTTTAAAGAAATACTGTTCCAGAGAACAAATCTTGTTCAAGCTTAAAATTTGATAGACAGGAAGAAAGCAGACTTTTAAAAACTATGGAATGTATCTGATTTTTTTTTCTTTTATTTAAGCAACTTTCTAGAATGAGCCTATCCCTGAAATCTTTTTCTTAAGTGTTTCAAGCTTGCTGCTGAATAAGATTTCAGGGATGCTGCACGAACTCCTAACATTTCACTTCACACACTGTGCACACCTAGACTATGGTCTTTAAACAAAGCCAATTGTAACTGAAGTTTCAGTACAAACTTTGTGGTATTAAACATAAAAGAAAACCACCGTGCAAATGTTGGCTTCTAGGGTAGTGATGTGGTTAGACAGCACTTCTAATCTGGATTTTTTTTTTAATTCTTAATCCTATCTAAAAAGCACATAAATCCTTACAAATTCTCACAGTGTGCCCTCTAATCTTTCTAATACCACAGCAGACTAATGTGTTTCAAGCATTTTCTACTGGAAACAAAACTGTCACTCAATACTCTGCTCACAAAAATAAACCCCAAAAAGCAAATACCAAGAATTCCGCCTCATAATTTTTTCTCCTCCACTTATTTCATATAAGTCAATACTTACCACCAGCTTCCTACATAACCATTTAATTATGCTCATTTCCTTTTACCGAGTCCTTCCTCTGAAGCAGAAGAAAAATGAGTTGCAGAGAGGACACGTGTGTGCACATGAGAGCAAGCTCACACAAGTGGAAGCCAGAGCTGCCAGCTGAAAGACTTTTATTTGATTTACTGATATTGCAACTCTACACCTAAGCAGCAGCACATTTTTATTTGGTCCAGCTATTCTGTTATTTTAGCCAGGCTGCCCTCAATAACCTCTGAACCATCTCTGAAATCTGGAGAGAACCTTTTCAGCTCTTTAAAAATAGGAGCCCAAAGGACAGACAGCCCAGGGGTTGGAGCATTCGTCTGCAGTCTGGGAGTCCTGCTTGAATCCCCTGCTCCATAATGGGCCGTCTGCATGACCTCAGGCAAGGCACTAAGCTGCTCTTTTACCATGGCTCCCCATTTGTAAAGTGGGGAT